GATTTGATCTTGGCAAGATAAGCTATCATGGAGGGCTCTTTGGCCTCGTAGCTGCCACTGATCTGATATGCAACTAGCTGAGAGTCTGTTTTTAAGCAGACATGATCGGCTTCCAAGGAGATGCACAATTTTAGGCCGGCGATTGCTGCCTCATACTCGGCTTCATTGTTCGAGGCCTTAAAAGAAAACTTTAGTGCATACTCAAAGGATTTGCCTTAGGGAGAAGTTATCACTACTCCCGCCCCCGAACCGTTTTCGGTGGAAGATCCATCCGTAAACACGGTCCAGACTTTCTTTTCACTGTCTAGCGCTTCTTGGTATGATCATTCGGCCAAGAAATCCGCTAGAGCTTGAGCCTTAATGGCAGCCCTCGGACGGTAGCTGATGCTGAATTCGGTGAGCTCAAAAGCCCACTTGGCTAGCCTACCAGATTTTTCAACCTTGCCGAGAACTTTTTCCAACGGCTGATCAGTTAAGACCACTATCTGATGGCAATCAAAATAGGGCCTCAGCTTCCGAGCAGCTACTACTACCGCGAAAGCAACTTTCTCGAGTAGAGGATAGCGAGTCTCGGCATCCGTCAGTGTATGACTGACGAAGTAGATCGGTTGCTGACTCTTACTCTCTTCCTTCAGCAATACTGCGCTGATGGTGGCTGGGCTAACGGCCACATATAGGTACAAAGTTTCTCCTTCAGCTGGGCTAACCAGCGTTGGGAATTGAGCCAGATGCTCCCGAAGCTGTTTAAAGGCGTCTTTTTGCTCTTCCTCCCAAACGAGCTCTTTTGTTTTCGGGAGTTTCAGGGCTTTGAAGAAAGGTAACCCCTTATCCGAAGCTCTGGAAATGAACCTCGAGAGGGCTGTCATTCTTCCGGTGAGCCGCTGAACATCCCGCTTCGTTTTCGGCTCAGGAAGGTCGAGCGCCGCTTTGACTTTAGAGGGATTGGCATCAATCCCCCTTTTGCTGACCATGAACCCAAGGAATTTCCCTGACTTCACGCCGAAGACACACTTCTTCGGATTCAGCTTCATTTGATGCTTTCTCAAGGTGGCGAAAGTTTCAGCCAGGTCCTTTACATGGTCCTCTAGTTTTTTGCTTTTGACGATCGAATCGTCAACATAGACTTCCATGTTTCGGCCCTTTTGATCGGCGAAAACTTGATCCACCAGCCTTTGATAGGTTGCCCCCGCATTTTTCAATCCGAAGGGCATCATTTTGTAATTGTACACCCCAGCGTTCGTGACGAATGCTGTCTTTGCTCGATCGTCGGGGTGCATAAAGATCTGATGATACCCCGAGAATGCGTCCATGAAACTAAGCAAGGCATGGCCACTTGTCGAATCGACTAGCTGATCGATCTTCGGCAAGGGATAGAAATCCTTTGGACAAGCCTTATTTAGGTCCGTGAAGTCAACGCACATCCTCCAGGTACCATTGGGCTTCTGAACCATCACCACATTTGCCAGCCATTCTGGATATTGGCAAGGTTCGATGAATCCTGCCTCCAATAATTTTTTGACCTCGGCTGCGATGTCTCGGTTCTTATTGGCGGAGTAATTCCGCTTCTTTTGCTTAACTGGTCGACACGTCGGGTCAACATTAAGCTTATGGGAGATGAGGTCTGAACTTATCCCGGGCATATCAGCTGCCGAGAAAGCAAACACATCTCTGTTGTCCCGAAGGAGCTGAATAAGTTCACAACGGGTGTTCGGATCAAGGTCCATCCCAATTGCTACACATTTCTCACCGTCTCCTTCGGCCAACTCAACTGTTTCAGTCTGTTGGTCCATGTCCATTGCCGATGGACTGGACTCTTCAGAATCTGGCCTGCTGCCAATGTCAGCAGGTGTCCCAGTCTTTTTGTTCTTCGGCTGGCTCTCTGAGTCTTGCGGCTCAGCTGAAGAGCTAGCCTTTTCCCTTTCGAGCCGTTTTTCTCTGGGCCCAGATCCTTGGGCCGAAGCACTTAGGCCTTTCGGCTTTTTTGTGCTTGGCTCTCTTTCTTTCTCCTCCTCATCCTTGTCGTCATCTGGGCGACTACTGGATGGCTTGAGGTAGTTGCACCTTTGGGCGTCCTTTTGGTTGCCCTGTATCCTTTCGGGGAAGCCGGCGTCTGAGACGTAAATCATCAGCTGATGATAAGTTGAGACGACCCCTTGGATCTCGTGAATTATGGGTCTCCCCAAAATCACGTTGTACACTGAAGGAGCGTCGATGACCAAAAATTCAATCATGACGTTCCGGGCTGCCTCATCGCAACCGATGGTGACAGGAAGTGTCACCTTCCCATCTGGATAAGTTGAAGCCCCATTGAACCCGGATACCGGGTAGGGTACCGGCGTAAGGTGCTTGGGCTTCAGCTTAATTTGATTGTAGGCCTTTCGGAACAGAATGTTTGCTCCACTGCCACCGTCAACAAGGACCTTACTGACGTCGTGGTTGGCCACCGTGGCGATGATCACCAACGGATCCTCGTGAGGGAACGTAATCCCCCGGCAGTCGGCGGCTGTGAACGTCATGTTCGGCACCGGCGACTGGGGAGATTGAATGTCAGCGTTGTTCACCTGGTGAGTCAAAGCTCTAAGGTGGCGCTTGTGCTCCCTCCGAGAGTATATTCCTCCCGAGATAACATTGATCGGAGGGAATTTCCCCTCCGGCTTTTTACTGTTTTTCCGGGGGAAGTCGAGGTCCTGCCGAGGGTCCTTTGCTGACCTCTCAGATTCTTTTTTCTCGCGGTGATCCGCGATGTATTTTTTCAAGTATCCCTTCCGGACCATGTCCTCTATCTGGTCCTTCAGTTGGATACACTCCTCAGTGTTGTGGCCCGAAGACTCGAGGAACTCACACCACTGATTTTTATTTTTTCGCTGATACCACTCTGGGAGTGGTCTCGGCTTTCGGTAACTCTGCTCCTCCTTCGTCACACTGTAAATTTTGGCGCGTGGAAGAGAGAGCGGAGTGTAGGATTCGTATCTGCCTGTGTATGAGGCAAATCTTTCCTTCTTTGGGTCGTTGGCCAAAGATTGCTCCGGGGCCTTTGACTTTCCCTTTGCCTTATGGCCTTGGCCTTCAGACAAGGGTATTTGTCTCTGTTTTCCTCCCCCGAATTGAGGTTGGGTTTTCGCTTTGTTCCATTCTTCAGCTCGGATGAACTTATCCGAAGCATTAAGAGCTTCCTCCAAGGTCTGCGGGGTATGCATGACCATGAAGTCTAGGAACTTTCCGGGCTGAAGGCCATTCTGCATTGCGAAAACGGCTAGCCCCTGGTCCAGCTGGGAGACGCTTGATGACTCGTTACTGAAACGGGTCAGGTAGTCTCGGAGGCTTTCGGTTTCCCCCTGTTGCAGACTCATGAGCTCTGCGGTAGTCTTCTCTCGGCGGTTTGCCGTGGAAAACTTGCTCCTGAACTTGGAGGACAGATCATCCCACCCTGTTACGGAGCCTTGCCTTACTCCCTTGGAGATCCACGCTTGCGCGACCCCCTTGAGAGTGGTTGGGAAATATTTGCACCAAGTCGCCTCGGATCTGGGGCAAAGATGCATATGAGTCTCATACGAGGCCACGTGATCCTTCGGATCCGTGGTCCCGTCATATGTGATGTGCGACGGTATTTTAACCGTGGGTACGCGTTCTTCCAGTATCCATTGTTCGAATGGTGAACTGGCGGGTAGCATAACGGCCTTGCCCTTGTTCCTGGCCGAAGGGACCGCGCTCCGCCCTCTTAGAGAGGTAGGAGTGGTTTTCGTCCCTGGCTGGGAAGTCTGGGCCTCGGCTGCAGGGAACGAGAGGCGACTGCGCACGCTCGGTTCCTTGCCGCCGAGTCGGTCAAGGACGCTTCTGCGAACAGTCTCAGGTTCTCGGTGAGTAGATTCTCGCCGAGAAGCTGAGCTGCTGCTCTTATGCGCTTCTGGTCTTGAGGATGAGGATCCTTTTAAAAATTGAGGGCTCTTTTTCCTCTGTTTTTCATTTTTCCAGGAATCCTCTTCCCACTCTTCCAGTTCCCGGAAGGAAGGAAGCTTCCCACCATCATGGTCTAACTTCCTCCGCTGATGCCGGGTATGCGGAGGAGTTCGATCACGAGGTGGTGGCATATTTTGTGCCCTCATCGCCTCCATGAGTACTGCCAGCGCTCTTGCCACCTCTTCCGAGTTGGGCCCCGTCAAAGGGGTCCTCGGCCGAGTGCGGGAATGAGGGCGCGCAGCCGATGGTTGGCTTTGGGACACTGAGTATGTCCTATGATCGGACTCACCCCTGCTAGACCGAGAGTGGCCCGGCCTATAATGAGAGTCATGAATTACGGGAGATAGGGAATCCTCCTTGTATGATCCTTCCCCCGAGCCGGCACCCTTGGGAGAGTTCCGGTCCGGCGAGGGCGATGATGTAGGGGTTTTAGGCTTTTCGCCCGCTCCTTGACGGAGGCTTTTGCTCTTGCGGTTCTTAGCCATTGCTGCTAAGATAATTGCAAGATGATCTTGGTTAGGAATTTGGCTTAAAGATTTTTGAAAGTCTTCCCCACAGACGGCGCCAAATTGTTTCGGGTGAAAACAATGGGACCTTGCCGAAGGTCCGCTGAAATGGAGAAGGCTGGATTCGGTCCAAGCTATGTTAGGCCCAAGGTTTCCTTCACAGTAAACACACGTAAACTAGCCTCGGGGGTGTTGCCGAGGAAGGCCCCTCCGATGCTAAAGTCAGTACAATGTGTAAGAAGAGGACACTATGCAAGAGAGTTTGTTGCTTGAGGCTTTTATGGAATATATCAGAATATATGAATGAACATATGAATCTATGAATGAATCAGAATCCCCCCATGAATGAATCAATATGATGGCTTTTATACCTCATCATACATGGAGAGGTTGGGCCTTAGCCCAATTGGCTTGCTTTGTGGGCTGACCTTTGACTTTAGCACAATTGGAGAGTTGAACCTTGACCTTGGGCTTTTAATTGGATCATTTAGTGCTTAGGCCCAATTGGACTAAATTGGACCCAAACAAGAGTAGTACCTTGTCTTGGGTTGTTGACTTGTTTGTTGAACAAATGATGCATCCATTTCCATAGATCGAACAATCTTATTTAAGATGGAAATAGAAGTATCAAATGAATTAACAATGGCGGTAGAATAGTTTTTCATACATACCATTTTTGTTTCATCATTGAATTGACTTGTTTCTCCCTCACTAATTAGTTGATCTGGTTGACTAAGTAAGCTTCGTAGTTGACTTGTTGCTTCCCATCCTTTTTTCAATTCTTCTTTTACAACCATTTTTAGATCCATTTTTTTTCTCTCTTTTTTACCAAAAAAATCTAGTGAGAGTGCGATTTTTAGATGAGTTGCTCTCTTCATATATATATAAACTTATACGGGGTATAAACCAACGTGCGAAATGTAATTAGCAAATCAGTGGTAAAGCAGTTACAACTAGCTTGTATAATAATAGAAAAATAATAATTATTAAATAAATTTGGTATAATAAATTACTCCTTGATCATAGATAATTACGTTTACGCGCAAATGATGTGATGAACTCCTTTAAGGATCTTTTACTAAAACGGCTAGTTTGACAAAAATATTTACCAAAACGGCTAATTATAAAATTTAATCCCCAAACTAGCTAATTTATTAACTTGGAAGGAATTTATCTATTTCTTATTTCCTTTGAACCAGTTTGGTTCACTTTTTTTTTTTTTTTTTTTTATATATTTTAATTTTAGTTTATTTTTGTTTCCTTAAAGATTTTTTAAAGTTGGAAAATTTAAGCAGTTTACAAAACTACGAAGAACGTATATAGTGGCAGACTCGCAGATCCCTAATTTCGATCCAAAAAAAAAAAAAAAAAAATTAAAAGCCCTAAATTTTCATCTTGATCATATCAGTCACTAAAATTTGGAATTTCAAGTATTATTGTTCTATCAAGATTACCGCAAATTTATACTACGATAAGGAATTTAAGGTACTGTTCATCTTTTTCATGTCTATTAAATTAATTGTATACTCTTTGTTTATGTCGGCTAGTATGAATAATTTTTTTTGTTTAATGTGTATGATAACTCAAACTTACATACATTTATTTCTATCTTTATGTGTTAAAAAAATAGTTGTATTTTTTTTTTCATTTGTTGATTAAAAGTTTGGATCATTTTTTTTAGTGGTTGTTTATGTTGTGTAACTTTTTTAAAAATTGAGAATTGCTGCATATATATTAATGTTGATTGTTATTGTTCAAATTAATGGGATATTTTAAACTATGGCATAAGAATTTAAATAAAACCAAAATTTAAAAAAAAAACCGAATTCTTTTTATATAAAACCAAAAAAAAAACATAAAGTGAATCGAACGGGTTCAAAGGAATATAAAAAATAAATAATATCCTTTCAATTCAATAAAATTAGCTAGTTTGGGAATTAAATTTTAAAATTAGCCGTTTTGGTAAATATTTTTGTCAAAATAGTCATTTTGGTAAAAGATCCCTCCTTTAATTTATTAGCAGCCGCCTCCTTGGGTACTTCTTCACCCTACCCTCTCTGATCATCAGCTCATTTATTAGGTTCTATATTAAGATATTTGGCTGTATAGGCTTTAAATAGTCTAATTTTAGGGTTAATTAAATCTTATCTTTTGATCTCAATAAATCTATTCAATATGAGTGTAAAACACTGTTCGTTCAATCTCTTTGTGGGAGGATTAAAGAGTCAAAGAATGGTTAGTTTCTCTATCCCCTGAATGGCGGGGGTTTGGTCCTCACCGACCCCTCCTCTCCCTTCCCATGATAGGAGGGCCCTTTCGTAAGTTTGTATCATCAGCCTTGCCACATAAAAATCCTTTTACGGTTTTCCTAGAAAAGCTGTGTATTCACCAATGTATTTGTGATAGATGTCTTATCCATGCGAAATTTGTTAAAAAGTTACTTTAAAATTTTCTATTATTTTATAGTAAATTATAGTACGCCCAATATATCAATAACATGTTAGTACAATGATGATTGAGACTGCACTTGTTAGAGATGACCGCGTATTTGATCCCTAGCAATAACAATTGCGAGGGGATTGGAACCTAACCACCCAAAATTAATCTCCAAATTTGAATTAGCTCTAAGGGTGAATCAGATAAAACACCAAAATAGTACACCCAATACAAACAACGTAGTTTTTACTCTTTTTAGGTAAGCAAAGGGTTGAGGGAGCAGGGATGATTTAGGACGAAGATGTAGTTGTGGATTCTAAAACTAGGATAATTATAAATGGATAAATTCTGTTAAATAATTAGATGATGACTCCTTAATTAAAGATCAATACGCGCATATGATATCTCCAACTTACTCGAATTAACAATTACGGAGTAATATTCAAGTCAATGATGCCATGTTTATTTATTGATATACAAAGTACATTGTAAGAGATAAGAAACGTATTTGCATTTGCACGCACTAGCTCCCTTCGTCCCACAAATAGAAGTATGATTCAATTATACTTGGTTAAAAACAGAATTTATATATAAAATAACTTGGTTTTTGCTCCTTAAGTAGAGGGTGTTGACCTTTGACTTTAATTATATCTTGAATTTTTGAATTGTTGCTTTACATACACCAAAATTTTAAGGTACGGTCGCCTGTACCTAGCAAAGTACAGGCAAAAAACACGAAAAGAACATGTAGTAGTTTTTTAAAGAATATAAAACTGTTTTGTAAAGAACATATAACTGTTTTGTAAAGAACATCCAATTTTATGTTTTTTTATACATCTAAAGAACATCCCTAATATTTATAAAGAACATGGAAATATTATGTAATGAACATGATTTATGTATATTCACCATAATTTTTGAAAAAAAAAAATCAAAGAACATTTCACAATAAGTAATTAACATTATATTACAAATAAAAGTACATTACACTGACAATTAAAGAACATGAACATATGTTCTTCTCACTCTTTTTTAATATAAATATGTTCTTTTTACTTTAGATATGTGTTCATTACTTTTTAATAGTATGTTCTTTTCATTACAACATTATGTTCTTTACATGTGTGTAATATGTTCTTTTCGCGTAACGACTGTACGATGCAAGGTACCAACGCCTGTAGGAACCACACATTGGTGTTCTAAATGGAAAATTCCCTGTTTCTCAGGGTGAGAAACAAAATTTGTTTCTCATGGGACATTTTCGTGAATAAATCAACAACTTTTTCATTATTGTGGACTCCACAGTTGAATAAAGTTGTTGGTTTATTTACGAAAATAATACCATGTGAGAAACAAAAATTTGTTTTCGCCATGAGAAAAAACTGGGGCATCCTCGTTCTAAATTTCTTGTGCAGCATACACTTACCTTGACTAAAGACTAATTCAAACATCATGTATATTAAGTGGAATTGAATGAGCATTAATGTTATTTCTACATATTATATATCTAAAGTGTTTTTAAAGTTATTCTAGGTGCTATGTGCCTATGTCTTTACTTACCTTCCTTAAGACTCCCAAAGCATAATTTCATTATATATTTACTTATTAGGCATTACTAAGTATTAAAAGGCTCTCCAAATACTATATTAAAAGGCGTTTAAAATAATGTTAATGTACTGCATGTGACACTCTTCTCTATTTATTTTTGTTAATCCGTGGTTTATACACACGGGTAGGGGTGTACACCGGTCCAAAACCGGACCGGACCTGGACCGGACCTGTTTGGACCGGGGACCTGAATTAGAGAATTTTGAGGACCGGAGACCGGACCTGAATCAACAGGTCCGGTTTCGGGTCAGACCTGAAAATTCAGGTTCGGTCCGGGTTTAGACCTGAACAGACCTGAATTTGTATTTTCCCTTTTTTTTTCTTTATTCAAGCCAAAGTTTTGACTAAAAACTATCATCAACAACCTCCTACGAACAACCCACCACCACTAATACATACACCCCTACGCACAGCCCACCACCACAAGCTTCTTTCTTTCTACCACCTACCCCAACTCACCCCTTAACCACCTTAACCCCCTTAACCCAGACACCATAACCCCAACAACCCAGACCCATTGATACCCACCCATAACCCAGAAAAACGAAAAAATTGAAAAAAAAAACCCACCACCGTCAGGCATCCACCGCACCCACAACCCAGAAAAACAAAAGAAAAAGAAAAAAACCCAAATCGATTCCACACATACATCCAACATCCGAACAAAAAACAAAAAAACGAACAAAAAAATCGCAAAAAACAAATTATACATAAATTGTCAGAAAATCCGAGAAAAAAAAAACAGAAATTTCGAAAAAATAGATCTACAAACTTAAATTACAAAATTTATAATTTTACATTACAATTTCATTAAAAAAGATAATTATAATCGTAAATTATGTGAAAAATAAAACTAGATCTACATACTAACCTATATTCAACTAAAACTAAAGTATAAACAAACTCTGGTGACGGCAGATGGTGGACGACGGGGCCTCGATGTTGGACGACGGTGCTCCAATCCCACGATGCTGGAGCCAGGAAGAGAGAAGAGGAGAGGAAGAGGAGTCGTTGAGAACCAGAAAGAAAGGGTGAGATTGAGAATCAGAGAGGAAGAGGGGAGATTGAGAATTAGAGAGGAAGAGGGGATACTGAGAATCAGAAAGGATAAGAGAAAAGGTGAGAGGAGAAGAGGTGTTGCTGAATAGTTGAAGTATTAGGTTTTTTAGGCTTTTATATTTTTTTTATATATATATTATATAAAAAATCCGGGTTTCAGGTCCGGACCTGAAAACCCCGGTTTTGGACCTGATCCGGACCGGAACCGGAAACCTTGAATTTCAAGGACCGGGACCGGACCTGAATCTACAGGTCCGGATCAGGTCCGGTCCCAACAGGTCCGGTTCAGGTCGGTTTTCAGGTCCGGTCCTGTTTATGTACACCCCTACACACGGGTGTACAGTCTCATCATACACCCGGATAAATAAAAAAAAGGCAGAAAGAACATCCTGTGTTTCATAAAGAACATACATGCATTTTTAGGTTTGCCCAAACCCACCCTATTTCGGGCCGGATCGGGTCGGGATGCGAATCATGCCAATGTTGATCACCTCTTAAAAAATCCTTACCAAATATATCATTTCCCCAAAAAATAGTTTTCTATCTCTCCAAAAAAAATTCAACTTCCCATAATAATTTAGTTTTTTTTACTCTAATATTATTTTCAATTAAAAATAATTTAAGATTTCAATATCAAATTTCAAAATACCATATGTTAAAAGAACATAATTTATATTGTAAAGTACATATAGTTAATACCTAAATAACACACTAATCAAACTCAAAGAATATATGATAATAAGAGTAATTTAAATATGACATATGATAATAAAAATAGAATTTGGGCGTCACTACGACCTTAAAGAACATAAACGCCAAATTCAAAGAACATACTTTGTATTATTAAACCCAAAAAAACATATATGTTTATCAACATATGTTAAATAACATAAGTTATAATGTAAAGAACATATAATTTTACTCAAAGAACACACTGATCACACTCAAAGAACATATTAAAGGTATGTTCTTTTTCAAACATTGGTATGTTCTTTATCAAACACTATATGTTCTTTCCGCCTTTTTTTGTTTACCCGGGTGCACTATGAGCATGGTGCACCCGGGTGTATTATCTAATTTTCATATTTTTGTTATTGCGTGCACTATTGTCACTTTCCTCTTTATGTTTCTTATTATATGTGTGCATGACATCGTACTAAGTAGGAGTCGGTTAGAATTAGCCAATTCACCACGTCGGCCGGCTACTCCGACGATACAGCTCTACTTATTCCTAGATACAGAAACGCCACTAGGAACAATTGAGAGAGGAACCTTGGATACAGTAACACCACCAAGGGTTAGGGAGATAATAATCTACCTAAGAACACTCAAAAGTGTTTAATTATATTTCATGTCAAAGGCTTGCCGGTTAACGGGCTACAACCATGACTATTTATAGCCTTCATTAGCAACTACTACAACTACCAGAAATTAATACGAAGCTAGCTAATTAAATGCAATGTTGAATTCAACATTGCCGACATGAGGGGTAGGGAGTGCCGACATGGAAGGGCTTCTAGAAGTAGTTGACATGGAAGGGATTCTAGAAGTAGTTTCAGTTAAACCTTGTCAAACTCTCCCTGTTGCAGAAGACTCGACCTCAAGTCTTTGATCTTCCTCATCCTCGTGATATGGGGACAAATCAGCGACATTAAATGTAGTGGAAACATTATATTCCCCCGGAAGCTCAATCTTGTATGCATTCTCCCCGATTCGTTCTAGGACCTTGAATGGACCGTCAGCTCTAGGCTTGAGTTTACCATGTGTTCCTCTGGGAAACCTTTCTTTCCTTAAGTGGATCCAAACAATATCTCCTTCCTTAAAGCTAGCTGGTCTACGGAACTTGTTTGCTTGTTCTTGATAGCGTTGATTTTCCCTTGTAATTTGAGCTCGAACCTTCTCATGTAACTTCTTGATCTCTCTAGCTCGTTCATCGGCATCACCGCTAAAGTGGTCAGGAGCGGGTAGTGGAACAAGATCAACCGGCGTAGTTGGATTTTTACCATAAACGATCTTGAAAGGGCTTTCACCAGTGGTTTGGCTCGGAGAACAATTGTAGGCGAACTCGGCTTGAGCTAACAACACATCCCACTGTCGGATGTTCTTGCTTACAAGACTTCTCAGCATATTTCCAAGAGTCCTATTGACAACTTCAGTTTGACCATCGGTTTGAGCATGTGCGGCGGAGCTAAACTGCAACTGCGTTCCTAACTTGCGCCATAAGGTTCTCCAAAAGTGGCTCATGAACTTGACATCTCGATCAGAAGTGATGGTCTTTGGTATTCCATGTAGCCGTACAATTTCTCGAAAATAAAGATCAGCAATCTGCGTGGCATCATTAGTTTTATTGCACGGAATAAAATGAGCCATCTTTGAGAATCGATCAACAACAACCATGATGGACTATTTCAGTGAGCGGGGCGGCAATAGTGCTGAAATTTTTGATGAATCGGCGGTAGAAGGACGCTAGACCATGAAAGCTACGAACATCATGGATTGATTGAGGAACTGGCCATGTGTTGATGGCTTCAACTTTGCTAGGATCCATCTCAATCCCATTGCTAGAGACAACATATCCAAGAAATACCACTTTGTCGGTGAGGAAGTGACATTTCTTTAGATTGGCATACAACTTTTGTTCACGAAGAACTTGGAAAATTTGTTGTAGATGATTCATATGCTCTTCAGAATTTCAACTATACATAAGAATATCATCAAAGTAAACAACTACAAACTTGCCAATGAAAGGGCGGAATACCAGATTCATCAGTCGCATAAAGGTGCTAGGAGCATTGGAAAGACCGAACGACATGACCATCCACTCATACAATCCATCCCTGGTTTTGAAAACAGTCTTCCATTCATCTCCAGGTCGCATTCGGATTTGATGATATCCGCTTCGTAGATAAATCTTTGAGAACACAACAACATCGTGCAATTGATCAAGTAGATCATCAAGGCGCGGAATGGGAAAGCGATATTTCACAGTGATCCGTTTAACGGCACGACTATCAATGCACATGCGCCACGATCCGTCTTTCTTTGGGACAAGAAGTGCTGGAACTGAGCATGGACTCACACTTTCACGTACCAATCCTTTTTGCATGAGATCGATGACTTGTCGTTGAAGCTCTTCATGCTCTTTTGGACTCATCCGATAGGCAGCCTTATTGGGGATGACTGCTCCAGGAACAAAGTCGATGCAATGTTGAATATCACGCATTGGAGGTAAACCTTCAGGAATTTCTTCCGGCATAATGTCACTAAATTTGCGAAGTAGAGGTTGGATCTCGTCCGGTATTCCTTGATCTTCTTGATTTTCCTCGAGCATGACTAGAACACAAGCAATGTTGGATTCTTTCAAGGCCATTGTAAACATTGATTCTGACACAACAGAGCTCTTCTCTTGGCTTGGCTTTGCTAACAAATCCCTTTTTAGAGGTGCTAAAACAATTTTGACACCATCCTTTTCAAAGGAATAAGTATTATGAAAGCCATCATGAATTGCACGACGATCATACTGCCATGGACGACCCAAAAGTAGGTGACAAGCATCCATAGGGATGACATCACACCATACCTTATCCTGATACTTCTTCCCGATGGAGAAATCAACAAGGCATCTTTTAGAGACCTTTACATCATTCCCCTTCTTCAACCACGTGAGCTTGTATGGATAAGGGTGATCCTTTGTAGGCAGTTTCAATTTCTCGACCATGGTGGCGGCAATCACGTTCTCACAACTACCACTATCGATAATGACATCACATATTTTACCATGAGATGTACATTGAGTCTGGAAGATGTTGTTGCGTAACCACTCATCTTCTTTTACTGGGGCGGCATTGAGGATACGACGAATAACTAACGATTTGCCTTCGTCAGCGTGCAAAACCTCTTCATTGTTTTCATCCTCAATATCTTCAACCTGTTCCTCTTCTAACAATTCCTCTTCGACAAGAGAAATTATTCTAGAATTTGGACATTTAGAAGCAATGTGACCAAATCCTTGACACTTAACACATCTTCTGGAGGTAGGATTGTTGTTACCTTGCCTTTGTGGTTTGCTCGTTGTGACTGAATTCTCAACCTTCTTCGTCGATGTGCTAGAGTTGGCCTTCGATGGAAACTTTGTTGGAGTATTTCCACGGTAAGAAGCCTCCTTAGAGACAAACTTAAATCCAGTTCTCTCCTTTGCTTGCTGGCCTTCAACCTTCACAGCAAGCTTGGTGACGTCGTTGAACGACCAATATTGTTGGAGTTGTACGACTTTGGAGATTTTTGGGTCCAAACCGGTTAATAACCTTGCAATGGTCTACTCTTCCGGTTCAGAATTGTCGCACTTCATTGATAAATCTTCAAACTCGGCAACATACTCGGCCACATATTTGTTTCCTTGTTCCAAGTGATGAAACTTGAGAAACATATCTTGGCGATAGTGACTGGGTAAAAATTTACGCTTGAGTTCGCGTTTCATTTTATCCCATGTGCAGATCTTACTATGACCTTCTCGTTCACGTTGTCGTCTGAGATTCTCCCACCAAATGGATGCATGTTTCTTGAATTTGATGGCGACTAACTTGACCTTGCGTTCGTCCGGAATGTCTTTAAAATCAAAGACACGTTCAACTGTATGGAGCCATTCGATAAACTCATCAGGATGAACACCTCCTTCAAAATCTGGAATTTCAACTTTGATTCCAAACTCTTTTTCTTGGTTTCGAGGATGGCGCGTTCGTCGGGAACGAGATGTTTCTCCACTTGAATATTCACCCTCGGGTTGGTGAAATGGATTGAAATCTTCATCTGGGCTACCTGACTGTTCTTCGTCTGATTGATGGGAATGATTAGCAGCAGCTTCATAACGTAGGTGCAAGACGTCGTTGAAGTCCAACTATTCAACTGCCACTATACTCACGCATTCACTCCTCTTTTCTCAATTATTCATTTATTATTATCATATATATATATATATATATATATATATATATTTATTATTATTATTATTTTATAATTTTAATAATGAAATAGTATTAAAAGCCCAATAATACTAAAGTAGAGTAGAGTAGTCAACTGCAAACTTGGATAAGGAAACTCAAAGAGGGCGTGAGAAACAAGGGAATAAGGCATGAGAGAGAAAGTGATTATCAGAGAACAAGAGCATTCCAAGAACAAGAAAAATTAGAGCAATTCTTCAACAATTGCTATAATTCAAGGTTATCTTGTGATATTTGGTGTAGCGGACTGGTGATGGTGCGGCGGAACTCACGACTGGGTAAGTTTTTTTTTTTCGTTTTACGGTGAGGTTGGGATGGCAATCGACGGTAGATTCTAATGGTGGTTGTCGGTAGAGTAATGAAAGGGCAGTTTATGGGGGCGATTGGGTGGTTTTAATTTTGTGGGTGGTTTTAATTAAGGCTACAACAAATATGGGTGTTGAAGCAGCGTCGGCAATTCGACAGCTTCAATGGAGGTTGGGCGAGATGGTAAACGACAACCTTGGCTCTTATACCAATTTGACACCGTACTAAGTAGGGGTCGGTTAGAATGAGCCAATTCACCACGTCGGTCGGCTACTCCGACGATACAGCTCTACTTATTCCTAGATACAGAAACACCACTAGGAACAATTGAGAGAGGAACCTTGGATACAGTAACACCACCAAGGGTTAGGGAGATAATACTCTACCTAAGAACACTCAAAAGTGTTTAATTATATTTCATGTCAAAGGCTTGCCGGTTAACGGGCTACAACCATGGTTATTTATAGCCTTCATTAGCAACTACTACAACTACCAAAAATTAATACGAAGCTAGCTAATTAAATGCAATGTTGAATTCAACATTGCCGACATGAGGGGTAGGGAGTGCCGACATGGAAAGGATTCTAGAAGTAGTTGACATGGAAGGGCTTCTAGAAGTAGTTTCAGTTAAACCTTGTCAGTGCATATCATCATTATAAAATTATAAAATAAAATTATCAACAAGATTCAAATATGCAACCTCCTGTCCTCAACCTCTAAAACTAAGTGTCTTACAACCAAGCAATAAATACTAATAATCAGCAATATGTATGTATCAGCTACAACAAAATTAAAGATATTGATAATTAATACTCGTACATGAACAAGTGTGAAATAACAAATAGATACATCAAAATAAGATAGAGGATTATCAGGAAATTTTAAATTATACATGAAGACTATTACGTAGTATATTACAAAAATTTCAAATAAAACAAAGTTGTCACATACCTTAGCTTCTATTCACTCCCTCTTTTATTATATTTTTTAATTTTTTTTTATTGGTATATATCTTTCTTCTTTTATTGAAAACAGTTACACACACTTCCATTGCTTTACAAGTAATTTTAACAAACGATAGATTGAATGGATTTGACATTTTGACTCTTATAAACATTGCTAAATTTAGTAACCCTTGATTGCTTCCTTGCCCATGATAGGATAATCGGTATAACCCAAAACAGGATCATGAGTATAAAATGTAGCCCTAACATAGTCATTCAAAGGTGCATTAATCTTAAACCTTTGGACTAAATCAGGATTAGCTAAATAAGACCGTCCGTAAGCAACCAAATCAGCCTCCCCTTGAGCCACAGCTTTCATTCCTTGATCCTTAGTATAGCCACCACTACTCATAAAAGTCCCTTCATAAGCATCCCTCAATTTTTTCGAGTTTTGAGCATCACCCTCGGCTTTTTCCTTAGCAACTCCTAGGGCTAACCTAGGTCGAGTTGTATGGAGGTAAGCGAGCTTTGATCCCAAGTCGAATTGTAGTTTGTTAAGCCCTTCAACAACGGCTAGACCCAAATCTAGTGAGTTGAAATCAGTGGCTTCAAATCGGTCAATGGAAGGTGAGATTCTAACTCCTCCTTTGTCAGCTCCTATGGTACCAACAACGGCTTGAATCACTTGCATTAGAAACTTGGTTATGCCTTCAAGTGATGATTTATTCGGCTTTTCGAATTGATCATTCAATGTAAAATTCATAAATTGGTCGATTAGGTATCCGTCAGCCGCATGTATCTCTACTCCATCAAAACCTATAAATTTGATTTGTAAAAAGAAGTTAGCTTAGGGTTCAACACATAGGATAGTTGTTATGTCCAGTTGAGCTTATTTCATAGTTTAAAACAAAAGATGTCCTACTTTTTTTTTTTCTTCTTTTTCTGAAGGTAAGAGAATCCCCAATTCCCAAGCAAATATGGATATAGTGGGATATAGTGAGATTTGAACCTGTGACCTCAATGTTACAAGGTGAGTTTTCCAACACTTCCACCAAATATGCTTGGTTTGTTGATTAAGTTGAAAAAAACATACTCGTGTGAGTCGTGTGTTTCTCAAACTTGACTCTCAACACTCAAGGCTAATATCCCAAAAAAGGTACACTAAATTGGACTAACTAACACTTATCAATGAAAGATTCATACAAATGTTAATTTCGTAAAATAATTGATAGAGTATAAAACATATTTTTAGGCCTCACGACCCATCAGCTTAAACTTTTGGTTGAGATGGTTCAGAAATATGTTTTATACTCTGTCAGTAATAAAGCATTAAGCATATATATTCATAATTTCATACCAGCACGAATGGCATTGAGAGTTGCTCATCGATAACGTTCTATAACCTCTAATAATGTTTCAGGTTCGCCACCTTTGGCCTCTGGACTCCATTTGCCTGATTCAATCGTAACTGACTAACTGTTAACAACATTAATATAACATCTTCATTTGGGTATACTAGCTATTTACTTCAATACTTGCATAGTTGTATTCAACCATCAAACAATAACAGCATAATATGACATCATAGTAAAATTATAAAAAGTGGAGGACATTAGTTTAATATACATCAACAAAATCTGATCTCACATGACTATATTTTATCGCATCTTTAAATCATAAAAGTGAGTCAAAGTGTAGTATATATGAATAGTGTAAAATCAAATATATTTTCAAACGATAAACTTTTCTTTAAGTATATATATATTTTCAAACAATCAAATTTTCTTTAATTTTTAATACTCCTTATATAAGATTGTGCATTACTAATATAGAAAAGCTAAAATATGAAAGTTATACGAAGAATAAAAAATACATATTTTTTTGGATAAAGTTGAATAAAATTGAATGATGTTAGAGATATGAGATATCAGAAAATACATCATATCTTTAACAAATGACGATGATGCTAGATGACAAATGACTGATAATGATGGCGATGGTTATGATTTGATGATATGATGAACATAATTGAGTTAAACTGAGCTAAATTATACTTGTACTAAATAGCTGAACTAAATTGAATTGAAATTCTGAAAAATAAATTTATAATAACATGACCTAATATAATTGGTTTGATGATGAATTCGAACCTTGATTAAAAACCTGACCAACGTGCCACAATTGACAAAAGATGATGGCACCTTTACCATGAACTGAGTCTACCACTTTCTTCCATGATTCAACTTGTTGGTTTGTGTAGATTCCATATGCGGAGGAACATATTTATATAGGATCCCAAACCAAGCTTGACCCTTAACATCAACCATTTTAGAGTATCTATGGAAAGAAAACAAAAAATAAAAAATAACGTTGAACTTTAAAATATACTTCCTCCGTTCGGTTAATATTGCAATAAGGAGGAAATTACGCATCCCGAAACACGTTTTATATGCTAAATATCTATAATTGTGTAAGAGTAAAAATTATAAAAAGTTGATATTGTGAAAGTATTTTATGAGACGAATCCAACAAGATCCCACTTGACTATATTTTGTTTAACGTATAACTCATATTATATGGTCAAACAAGAGTGATGAATAGTGCAAAAAGTTCATTGTTGCAATATTAATAGAACGGAGGAAGTATATATTAACACCATAATGTTTAAATGATTATAGTCGTCTTTTGAGATATGACTACTATAATAATATAATTACCGTGCAGTTACTGGGGCGATGAGGGTGCCTTCGGTAACGAGCAAACCACCAGGAGTGGATCGTTGGGTGTAATACTTCTCGAGTGTTTCATTTGGTATTCCGTTTATGGCCCGACATCTACTCATCGACGGCAAAACTATCCTATAAATTAAAATAGTTCCAATCATGATCTAATTAATTAGTATGCATTAGATTGATCTAAATTCATGCAATTGTGCATCCTATAAATTAAAACTATTAACTTTGGACATATACTTTTCCATATCATTTTTTATATTGTTAGAATTTTATTACCGTACAATTAAACTTATGTATTGACATGTGTATGCAGTGTATCTGGTCAAACTATGACATATATTATGAATGAAGGAGTACAATACAATCATTTTGAATACGTAAAATGTAATGGTATGACACTAAACTCGATCATAAATTGCAGACTTATGTACTAGAGATAGATTGTCCTATATATATACTTCATATAACAAAATGATTTTTGACTGTGATGTATTCTTTAGTGAATTTAGTTATGATTTCTTACTATATTAGATCAAATTTAAAGGAACTAACCTGTGAGAGAGCTTGCATGAGCCCAATTGGTATGGAGAAAAAAGGTCATCCATGGCCTTGTTTTTTGGCACAACCATTTCTATATTTTGAGAAATTTTACCAAAAAAGATTATTTAAAATGTTGAGATTTGAGGTCTTGCAACTTAAAATGATGGCTTTATAAAAGGAATTTATGATGCAAGCTACAGATAAGAATTGCATACATTTAGTTGTTCATCACATCGCTGGTAGACTTAGCTTCTATTCGAACTATTTAAATCGAGTGACGTCAATTTAATTTCTTCTCCGTAAAGTAAGCAATTAATTTAATTCAACAACAATAATTTTTGTAATTAATATCTCAAATATACTTCGAAGTTGCTTTAAAAAAAAGTATTAGAATAGTTGACTTGGATTTATAATAAAGTTTAGCACATGATGAGAGTATTTAAAAAAAATTAAACTAAAATTTGTAGAGTAACAAATTAGTTGGGGTAGGCAAATCTTGTGCACATTACATGATTTCATAATGTCAATCCAAACAGAGTTTTTTCAGTGCGGCAGGCCATATGGTGCGGCATGAGTTACTTGTATTCTGGGTTACTTGTTTTTTGGGTTACTTGTATTTTGGGGTTACTTGTATTCTGGGGTTACTTGTATGAGTTATTTGTATTTTGGAGTTACTTGTATGGATTACTTGTAGAGGTTCAATTTCACCTACAAGTAACCCAAGACCAAAACCTCGTACCAAGTCAGTAACACCCTACCAGTAGCCCCTGACCAAAACCAGTAACACCCATACAAGTAATCCCATAATACAAGTAACACCTATAAGTAACCCTTGACCAAAACCAGTAATACTCATACAAGTGATCCCAGAATACAAGTAACACTTACAAGTAACCCCTTACAAAACTAGTAATAACACCCATACAAGTATCCCCAGAATACAAGTAACACCTACAAGTAACTCCTGAGAAAATCAGTAACACCATACAAGTAACCCTTGCCGCACCATGTGGCCAGCCGCATACAAAAAATTGTGCAATCGAAATTATTAGAGGGAAAGTTATGAGCAAGCCCCGGTTTATAACCTTGATAAACAAATTATGTTTATCAAATGACATTTTTGTAAATAATTTGTAATGAAAATTGTGTTTTTTAATAAAAAAAATATTTTGTTTGTAGGCCATTATGATATGTTGGACAGATTTTTGGAATAAACGGTGTTAACTCACTGTTTGTAACTATTCATCTCCTTCCTCTCACCTTTTCTCAATCTTCCACCGCCAGCACACCATCTGATCCACCACCATCACATCGACCACCGTCCGAAACCTATCACACCCACCGCCATATATCCGCCTTCAGCCAATCAAACCCACAAAGCCTTCCTCTTCGTCACGTCGTCTTCCTCTTCTTCCCGTAACCCACCTCTTCTTCATAACAATGGCCGCTTCGCGGAAAAACAAATAGACACCTTACTAGAAAAGAGTGTAAATCAGGGTCATATGAATCCCACTAGGGAGAGCCTTTCATTCGCGACAGCATTTTGAACTGTCATAGGTGGTGGTGCCGTCGAGGAAAAAGTGGTATCTGGGTTTGGGACTTTGGGTTTCAGATTTCCACCATTAAAATTGAAGGTTGAAGGAGGAGAGAGAAAACAACAAAAGGTTGAAGGAGGAGAGAGGAAAATATATCAGAAAATAACAAAAGGTTGAAGGAGGAAAAAGATAATAAGAGTTAACCAAAAGTTAGATATAATTTACATTTAACATCTACACCCTTTGATAAACAATTTTTATTTATCAATTATCAAGGTTATAAACTTGTATTTTCTTGAAGTTTATTGTGATTTAAACATTTAAATTCACATTCTTCATTTCTTTTCACCCTACTCAAATAATGTTTAGTAAAAAAAAGTTAATTAAGTTTAGCAAAAATAAAATTCTAATCTATATCTAAATTATTATTTTAAAATATGAATGCTCCAAAATTTAAAAAAGTTAGTGTTAAAAAATCACATCAACCCCGAAATCAACCCATTTGACAGATTTACCGACCTGAAAGACTAGATTTCATATTTGTCATCATAAGCGCGTAATCACTTTATGGTCTATGAGCAAATCCTTTTTTAATTACTTGCTTAATTAATTTGCTATTAGAAAAATCATTCGTATCTATCTGAAATCTTACTGCAGACTTTGGCTATTTATATTCTAATTAAAAATCATACAAGTTGTGTTTAAATAATATTGTTGACATTAGATATGTTGCTTAACTTCCTCCTTATAATAAAGACGAAGCACACCACTTTATTTGTGCACATAAACAACAAAAATAAAAATTATATAGAGAAATTAAGAAGTAAGATTGAGAACAAAAATGGATATGAAGGTATTAGAAGAAGAGTTGAAAAAGGGTTGGGAAGCAACTAGTCAACTACGATCATTACTACTTTTTCCACCCGAATTAGAATGTGGTAATGCAAGTAGTAATAGAGATTACCAAAATCAAAGCTCCCAAAATGACAAAATCTTGCCATTTTTGGAAAGTCATTATGCCACCATTATCAATTCGTTTGACTCTTCCATTTCCATCTTAAAGCAATTATCCCAATCTTCAAAACCCTCAATTTGTCAAAAATCAAAAGTTGGTCAAAAAAGCAGGTGCGTTTTTTTTCTCTCTTACAATATAGATGTGTTGTTTTACGAGTTCCACTTGTGAGAAGAGGCTATTAATGTATGTTTTCTTTTTCTTATGTATATTTAGCGAAAAATAAATTTCATTATAATTGTAGTTAGTGATTTGTAGGCTCTTATTATTTAGTTAATGTTAAAGCGGAAAAACATCCCTTTTAGAAAAAAAATTGTTGAAACACAAATATGGGGTTGCATTGATTTTTTTAGAAAGAAGGATCCATGATTTGAAACAAATCCAAAATGTTTCATTGTAAGTTGAGCTTGATCAACTCAATGTTTTTTGGGAATTTGAAGGTCTAGTTTCAAACAAATGTTTACATATATACATCAAAGTTATTAGAATCGAGATTCAAATTAGGATCTATAAGGCTCATTCGACATAATCAAGTTGTAAAGTCAAAAGATCCTATATGTTTGATTTGTAACTTTAGCAAATGCTCACAATATGAAAAAGTAGTCATGGGATCGTAAAAATTTAACGTTTGTGATGCTTAGATTTTCTTATTATTAGTTGTATATTATGCTATAAGAACACTACAACAAAATAAAGCAAAGGTAACAATGCAAAACCATTGCCTAATATAAAAAAGTGTTGCCTTGTAGCTAAGACAACACATATAAGGCATAATTTATGCCCCCGTTGTCTATTCATAAGGCAACACATTTTTATTCAAAGGCAACAATTTTGAAAGCTTAGGTAAAATGATACATAAGGCAACACTTCAACAAAGACAACAAATGAAAAATGTTGTCATCTAAGAAGATAATTCAAAAATGTTGTCACTCCCAAGCATTTAGTAGTTGGTAGGGCTTAAACTTGTGACCTCAGAGTCACAAGGTGAGTTCCCCACCAACTCTACCTAACTTGCTCATATATATATATATATATATATATATATATATATATATATATATATATATATATATATATATATATATATATATATATATATATATATATATATAATTATTGTTATCTTTTCATGCAACAATTATTATATTTGTTGTCTTAGACAAGATAAAAGTAACACTTTAAGCGACTGTTGCCTTATATAGTCTAGAGCAACACTTTTTTTTTCTGTTACTTAAGTTCAAGGTAACAAATAAGTATTGTTGCGTTAGATTATTAAGAGTAACATTTCTATAAGTGTTGCAATCTTAAGTGTTACCTATTCTCATTTTTTTTTTGTAGTGGGAAGCTAATTAGTATACCTAACATGAAAAATTAAATCTTATTAAGATCACGACAAATTTCATTTAACAGGTCAAGGATGATTGAAACCTCTAACCTTGAACCTGATGGCTACGCATGGAGAAAATATGGTGAAAAGTCGATCCTCAACACAAAGCACCCTAGGTATATACATTAGTCTTATTTGTTAAACATAAACTCCTTGAGATTATACTTCTCTGGTGTACTTTTATTTGCAACATTTTGACTAAAACTGTGAGATCTATTTGGGCAAATTGTTGCAAGTAAATGTGAACGGAGGAAGTATATGAAATTGGTAATGCTAATTAATAATTAATTTGTTTAATTTTGGTCTATAAATGTAGGGAATACTATAGGTGTGGATACAGAGATGATCAAAATTGCCAAGCAACAAAACATGTCCAAAAGATATCTGGTAGTCCTACAAAATACAGGATCATTTACTACGCTCATCATACTTGCAACCCTCTCCTACACAGTAATTTTGTCTCTCAAATTCACGTGTCGGATTCTTCTGAAAAAGACTTTAGCAACCTTATAAGCTTTGAGTCCAAAAACCCTACCCAAATCCCTAAACAAAACATTAATGAACCATTTTGTGCCCTAATTTTTCCATCTTCCTCAAATAAGTCATCTAAGGAACTTTCTCCACAAAATGGTGAATTCCCTTCATTGTCTAAGACAACTAATAATCCTCCCCCATCCTTGGTTGATTCAATGAAGAACCCTAACCCACAAGTAGTAAGCAACGCGATTATTGGTGATGTCAATCAACAACAAGGTGTGGTGTTATCACCAAGTATGCTTATGAGCCCAAATTATATGGCTACTTCATATGTGGACATAGACGGGTGCGATTTGGCGGCGGGTTATGAACAATTATATGATATGGATGGTGCATTGCAATTGCAAGACATCCCTTTTGCGGAGATGAATGTTTCGCCAATGTGGGAGTAAACATAAAAAATTTGAGCAAGATTAAAAAGAAAGAATGTTGTTTTAATTAACTTGGTTTTAAATTCTATATTGTTGAGCATTTGTCCAAATAATAAGCACAACCGTTGTTATTGTAAAGTGGTACGATACAAGGGTCTTTTGGAGAAGGTTTATTTATGTCTTTTAATTTTTTATCTTTTATGAAAGCGATTCTTGTTGACAATTCAGCAATCCTTAATTCCTTATCCATGTTATTATTGATTGAAGAAGACTAGTTAAAGAAAAATTTAATGGTGCACTTTTGATAATGGCCGTTAAAAAAGTTTAATTTGTATTTTAAACATGTGCAAATAACTCGTCAACCTTAATTTTCCACCTCAAAACACCGAACATAGATTCAACTACTTCATGTACTATTCTGAACAATAGTTAAAATAAGTACAGTAACGTAAATGTTAATAAACCAGTAAAGCATGGGCCCTCATTAACTAGGGCTGTTCACATTAGGTTCCGTACCATTAAGGTTTAATGGTACAGTTAACCATTATAACGGTTACTAAAAAACACGAATCGTAACCGTCCCATTAAGAAACGGTTAACCATTTCTTAACCGCGGTATGGTTACCGATTAACTGCTAACCATGATTAAATTATAAATTAACACTTTTTTGCTCTTCTAATTGTTCTAACTCTGATATATAATTTAATATAAACATAATAAATTCCAACTGGTTGGATACAAATCGATAAAGATTGTTTAAATTAGGATTAACTTATATAACTATATATATTGTTTTTTCTCAAAAAAAAAGTACATAATTTTTTTTAATCTTAACGGTTAACCAGCTTTTTATCTTAACGGTTAACCATTTACTCAAAACTATAACCTAATAACCATAACCGTTAACCGCTACATTTAACGGTTCGGTTAACCATAGCCGTTTATTTTTAACGGTATGGTTAATTAAACTATTAAATGTAATGGTTATACCGGTTAACGGTTACGGTAAATGGTTACGGTTTTTTTTTTTTTTTTGGCACACCCTAATTCTACACACCAAAAATGATGTGTTTTGGGAAGCAAATAGAATACCTGACCTTCCAAACTACGCGTTTGGATGGTGTGAAAGAAAAAAAAAATAGTTTTCTAATTAAATCCACTGTTTAAGAATATTTTTGTCATTTTTATGACAATAAAACCTTAAAATTTAACAAAATTTTCTTAAACAATATATTGACCATTTTACTAATTACGTATTATTTACATTATCATTTTAAGATATTTAGATTTTAATTGTTCATAAACGTAATTTATAGTAGTATAACTTCATTAAACAAAAGGAAAAATTGCCCGGAATAATCCAACTTTTGGGGCGATCGCTAAAAATAATCCCACTTTTGGATTTTTTTAAATAATCCGACCTTTATACTCCATCCGTTCAAATTGGTCCCAACCGGTTAGGTAACAAGTTACCAGACACATGGCGGCCTGTGATTGGTCAAAAAAATAAAAATGAATTCAAATTAATATAATTAACAAAAAACTATTTTTTTTTTTGAAAAATCAGAAAAGCCAAACCACTATCCACACTGACTGCCAGCCCCCTCTCCCTATACCAGCCCCGACGACCAACAATAACTTCCCTCCCCCGTCACCGGCAACCCTATCCCCTCCCTTTCCTCATTCCCGTCTCTAAACCCAACCTCCAAACCCTAAACCCCAGGGCTAAGCATGGGACGGGTACCCGTACCATTAGTCCTAACAGTTCGGGTACCCGATAACCAAAATCACTAAAAGTGATAACCATAACCAGAACCGATAAGTTCGGGTGCTCGGATTTTGGGTACCCGGATTTTCGGATCGGTTATCGTGAACCCAATAAGATATCTAATAATGATAATTCAACTTAATTATGTAGTTATTATGATATAATTTACAACTAATTAAAAACAATACCATATGATCTTGACCAAATTATTAATAATATTACTAATCATTGATATTATAAAGTGATTATGAAGTAAAGTAAAAGTTTAGATTTATATTAATAGATTTAAGTAGAGAAAAAAAGCAAAAAAAAATGCTTATCGGATCGGATCGTGTAACCGTTAATTTTAAAATGATACCCATAACCATACCCGATAACAAATTATCGGAACGGGTACCCGAACCGTTATGGTTATCTGATCGGGTACCCTAATTTTTGAAACGGTTACGGATCGATTTTTCGGATTTTCGATTTTTCGGGTAGTTTTGCTCAGCCCTACTAAACCCAAACCTGGAAACCACCATACTAAACAACACCCAAACTCATTTTAGGGTGGTTCCATGGATTAAGTATAGCGTTTAGAGGTGTTGTTTCTGGGTAGGAAAGAGGGAGGGATCGATTCATGTGGTGGACGAGGGGCGTGGATAGTTTTTTATATAGGAAAGGGGAAAATGGGCTTGTATCGGACTTTTGGGGTGGAGCCCATAGAGGTTGGGAAAAGGGAGAGTAGGGTTTAAATTCAAGTGGGGGACAGGGTTGTTTCCGATGGGGGGAAATGGGTGGTGTTGAGGTAGTGAGAGGGGAAACCGGCCGGGATTGGGTAAAATGGAGAGGTAGGGTATCGTGGTCACCTACACCGAGGAATAGAGGTGGTCGCCGACACCGGGGATGAAGGTGATCACCGACGTTGCTGGCAGGGGCTGGCAGTACGTGGTTACAGGGAAGGGGGTGGCTGGGCTTTTTTTTTTTTTTTTTTTTTAATAACTTGTTTATTTAATATAATTATAGTTAAATACTTAATTTTTTTAATTTTGGCAAATTAGGTTGTGACACGTGTAAATTAAACATAATAAAAAAAATTACCTCTTTAACCAGATACTGGTCACTATGGACCATTTTGAGATTGATTATAAAGGTCGGATTATTTAAAAAATAACCCAAAGGTAGGATTATTATGGGCAATTTTTCCTAAACAAAAAATAATTAATATGAATATGGTAATGTATAGAGAAAGAAGTGTTGGTGGGGTATTGAAAAATGTAGGAGAGAGAATGATGAGGAAATATTTTTATCATTAGTGAGATACAAATATGCCCATAAAAATGCACTTGAGTAAGAGGAGAGAAAGAGTGGATATAAAGAGAATGAGAAAGTGTTATTTTTCTCATGTTAGTGAATGCTCTAATAGTATAATCACTAATACTACAATGTGAAGTGTGTAATAAACTTTGTAATATTGTTAATTTTGTGATAGTGGGAGTAAAAATTGAACAACATTAGAATTAGGAACACATAGTAGCATAATCAAACATCACCATAATCCATAACTTATGTTCCAAATAATTGATGAATGATCGAATGATGGCGTTAAATCTTTTTTGTATGATGACGTCTGTTCTCTCATACTGCTGACGTTTGCTAACATACGTCATTTTAAAAGTTTTTTAATTAAGGCTTACTGTTGACCAACTATGTTTAGTACTTGAAATTATTGATTATTAATTAATCAGGGGGTTGATCTACATCTAGATCTACCATTAATAAATATTATTTTGTCACTATTAGGCCTTTGGCTAGTCATTTTTTTGTCGAAAATTTGGCATCACTAAAAAAAACTTGTATCAAACAACTACTGAATTAAATTGTTAATCATGCAGCTTTCAAAAACAAAAAAAAAAAAAAAAAAAAAAATTATTAATGCATGACTTACTACATCGATCTATTGGTTATTTGGTTTATATATTTTCCACCGGCCACCAAATTATAATATTGAATTAATAATTCTACCCTAAATTTTATATTCCAAGTTTATATATATATAGACCTACATCAAAGTAACGTACCTACAATTTTATTAAACACAAAGTTAAAGTATATACAATTATAATCTCAAAGGCATTAAGATTGGGAGGTGGCCATATATATTTATACAAAAGCTAATCGAGTGGTGAATATTTTATCAAGTCATGGTGTCAAGCAATCAAATAACTTGATCATTTTCGTACAATTTCTCTAGGTTTGGGTACTTATTTAGAATACTAGCATAGGATATGAAGATGTAATATGGTTGTGTCAAAAAAAAAAAAAAAAGGTACTATGGTTGTTGTGTGACTTGTGGCATATTTAATTTCTCATTAATTTGTATTTCCTTCAATCATTTTTATTCTTCCCAATCATTTTTTTACAATTGGAAATAACGTAACCTTATTTTACAATTATAGACATATATTGATTTAAAAACAAAAAGTGCACATTGAATAATTTTAATTGTATTTAGTGGAAAGTGGGTTCAAATGAGAAAAATTACTCCATATAATAAGGAAAAAAAAAAAAAAAACAAGTAAGTCCATGCTATTTTCAAAAAAAAAAAAAAAGTGTAACAATTCTCTCAAAAAAAAAGTGTAACAATTTAAATAAGGACGACTTTAACCTCGATTCTTTAAAAAAGTTTAGACAAATACTTATAAATAGTATAGTGTGCGAAGATTTATATCTCTATAAATATTTTCTTAATTACTTATTTTCCTTTTTTAATGTTAATAATTGCTTTATTATTATTATTATTATTATTATTATTATTATTATTATTATTATTATTATTATTATTATTATGTGTGTATATATATATATATAATATATATGTGTGTGTGTATTTATATATATACACCTTAGGCCGAATTCCGAGCATTAATCCTATTTCACGGCATTGACCACCTCACGTAAGGGTCACATGCTACCACAAAACAACCTTCATTTAATCCCCCCTTTCCCCTCCCATTAGTTTTTCTCTCTCCTTTGTTTAGAGGTGTCAAAAACACACCTGACCTAACCAGATCCGATCCGAAACTAATCCGAAACATATCCGATTCATATTTTGGATTTGTGTGGACATAAAAATGCAATTTTGTATGACTTAACTTTAAAAATTGATCCAACCCGACCATATCAGACGCGATCCAATAATCCGAATTGACACCCCAACCTTTGTTCTCCCAAATAACTTTTGCACTACATAATTATTCACAAATTATTTAACTTTTGCATTATTCACAAATTATTTTACTCAAACTTTTATAATGTACTTCCTCCAATTTTGTTTAGTTGACACTCTTTAACTTTTGCAGTATTAACAAATTATTTGACTAGCTTTTATGATTCATAGCTACAATAAATATAGTCATGTACGATTTTGTTTGAATTCGCCTAAATGTAAATTTTATTCGGTTTTTTTCCTTTTTTTTTTTTTTTGATAGAGGTAAAATAAAAAACAGTTTGAGTTGATTTATGTGGGGACCCTTTGTCAACCTTGGATGCACATTTGGTAGCAACCTCGCTCTGGTGTCAAGTTCTTTTTGTAGGTTGTTAGCGTACATTAGTAATAATTTCATTTTTACATTATAGATATAACTCTAAACATGTCAAACGCATTAAAAACGAAATGGTACATAACATGTAAGTAGTAGAACTTTTATTACATTCAACAAAATGCTTCATACTACATAATTATTATCACATAAAATAGTTAACATTGTACTTTAATCCGAAGACCGAAGTACATAGCCTTAATCATACAATTATAACTAAGATGACAGGAAAGCTAAGCAAGCAATAGTGATTCATAATTCTTAATTCCGCAATGAAACCAATTGCATGTGGATTTTTGGAAGTAGGTTGTTATTACTTATTAGAATTTCTTAGCTACTAGGCAAAGTTGTTTTTCTTTATGCATAACGATGCCAGGGAGGACATTGCTGTCAATTTCTTCCTTGTTTAAGCCATTAGGCAATTCCCAATCAAATGAGTATAGCAAGTTAGCTAGCACAAGCTCAAGGTTTACGAGACCAAAAGTGTAGGCAGGGCACATTCTTCTTCCACCTCCAAAGGGATACATTGGCATCATTTCTCGTCCTTTTAATTCCACTGAACTCCCTATAAACCTCTCTGGCATAAATATTTTTGAGTCCTTCCAGCATTTTGGATCTCGTCCAATTACCCATGCATTTATAATTACCATAGTATTGGGTAAAATATCATATCCTTCTATGACGCTTTTTTCAACTGTTTCGTGTGGAACAAGTAAAGGGGCTGGCGGGTGTAGCCTAATTGTTTCCTTTATCACTGCCTTGAAATATTCAAGTTTTGGTAGATCATCTTCTAATATGCAACCTTTGTTTTGTGCCACACACCTTAGTTCTTCTTGTACTTTTTTCATTGGAATGGGGTTCTTTATTAGCTCTGCAATTATCCATATTACCCCAGCCGTGGTTGTATTTGCACCTCCGACAAAAAGATTCTGCGAAAAATTATTGGAATAAAATCTTATAAAATCTTTGTAAATATCATGTTGTAAAGCAAATTTAATAGTTATTAACTATAATAAGAATAAGAAGATATATTAACTATTTATGCTTTTAATAAATTCCTAAAACCCTCATAATAATAATAATAATAATAATAATAATAATAATAATAATAAGGTTTAATTAGAAAATAACACCTGCTAAAGACCCCGATTTTGTTTTTAACACCTGTTAAAAAAAAAGTTTAATTATAACACCTCCAAAAATCCCAAAATTTTGGTTTCACCACCCACTAACAGATTTTTGGATGGAAACCGTTAGTGGGGCCACCATGTACACGTGTCAGTCGTTAATTAGTTTAAAAAAAAATTTAAAAAAAAAAAAAACCTAACCCCCTAATCGAGCCAGCCACCGCACCGGCACCACCTGCGGCCAGTCGCCTCTTCCCTTCTCCTTCCCTATTTCCTACCCTGATTCCCAATTTCCGGCGCCAATCACCAATTTCCGACACCTCCCTTGCTTCCCCCACCCCAACCTAGCCCAGAAACCTTAGTTATCGGGAGCTTGGGACCGTTTTCGAAGGTGGGAAGGGAAGAGGTCGGTTTCTGGGTTGAGGGAAAGGAAGGGGAGCCGGTTTCAGTGGTGTGGGAAGGGAGGGGGCGCCGGTTTCGGCGGTGCGGGAAGGGAGGAGGTCCATTTAAGGGGGTTGCGTTGGGGAGGGGAACCGTACTTTGGCGGCTTTGTGAAGGATGATAGCGGTTTTCGAGGTGGGTTAAGGGTGGGGGAGCCGATTTCCGGTGTTAGAGGTGGTTCGGCGGCGAAAATCGATGGCTGGTGGTCGGTGGTTGGTGGTTGGTTGGTTATGGGGTAGGCAGGGGAGAAGGCCACCGTTTGTGGCTGGCCGCAGGTGGTGCCGGTGCGGTGGCTGGCTGAGTTAGGGGGTTAGGTTTTTTTTTTTTTTTTTTAAATTTTTTTTTAAACTAATTAACAACTGACACGTGTACATGGTGGCCCCACTAACGGTTTCCATCCAAAAATCTGTTAGTGGGTGGTGAAACCAAAATTTTGGGATTTTTGGAGGTGTTATAATTAAACTTTTTTTTTAACAGGTGTTAAAAACAAAATCGGGGTCTTTAGCAGGTGTTATTTTCTAATTTGGCCTAATAATAATAATAATAATAATAATAATAATAATAATAATAATAATAATAATAATAATAACAAGAAAGGAGGTTGACATAGGATTGTCTGGAGGGAATGACGGGGCCCTCGGACCTGCCGATGTGTTACTTTATTCATGGGATCGTGGTCGTGATGTATGTGTCGACTTCACAGGGTCTTCTCCTTTGACACAAACAGGGCTATCTGACTTTGTTACGGGATGGGTTGTGGCTGATGCGGCTCTTCGAAAGCGGGTTAAGTATGAAGCTCGTTGTCTAGCGATTGGATATGGTTTCATTCCCTTCTCCTTTTCTTCGATTGGGGATTTAGAGAAGGAGGTTGTTGCGTTGCTGAAGCGGATTCAAAGATTCTCAATGACGCAAGACATTGGGGCTCGTGCTGCAGCTCATATATTCACTAGGGTAGGCTTTGCTATAGCTAGAGGAGTGGGGGCCCAGATTGTATCTCGGCTTCCCACTAATTTATTGTAGGTTGTATGACTTTTGTTTTTGAGATAATAATAATAATAATAATAATAATAATAATAATAATAATATATTATTATTATTATTATTATTATTATTAATATTATTATTATTAAAAAATTTAAAATTTATGTTGAGATTGAATAATCAAACAACATGTAAAATGAAACAGACATGGCAACTAACATACAAAAAGGGAATTAGATTTTGTTACAAAAGGATTAAGTTATATATCCATATTTGTGATCCAAAAAGTGAAAGCCTCTCATAGGTTGTCTTTAATGTTCTCTCCAATTTATTCAAATAATATTCTGTAGTAAAAATAATTTTAGTTGGATTTTTTTTAACAATTTAAAGGTATGTTAAGAACTTAACATCATTAAAAATAACTACTTAAGAACACATATGATAGAAATTAATAAAATATAAAAAAAAAAAAAAAAAGAGGAGAATTTGTAATAATAACCAACCCTAATGCCCTAAAAGCACCATTTGTTGAAAAAATCATCCATTTTTTGGAAATTAGAAAATACCACCCTTAAATCAAAATCAGTAGATATCACCACCCTTCTCTTATTCCAGTTAGTTTTTGTTTTAGTATTCAATATAAGTAAAGAAAACATGCACGCCATACGTTTTACTAACACATGCTACCTCGGTTTTTTGTTAGTTGACACATTTTGACTTTAGCACAATTCACACACCTCCCTTTGACCATATTTTGTGATTTACATGTGAAGAAAAATAGAGTCAAGTGGGATATTGTTAGATTCGTCACAATGTATATTTTCCAAATATTGACTTTTTATAATTTTTGCTTATCGCTATTTAAAGATATAAATGATTGAATTTGTGCATTGGAAAACGTGAGTAAAGAAACGTGTATTAGCCCTAAAGCCTATCTATCCTTTCTTCTAATATACGGATTACCACAAATTTAATGATTTTTTCTGATTATTGTTTGACACGGAGGGGTTAATTATGTCATCTTTGCTTTAAAATAGGACTAGTGAGTGTCATGAAAAACGTACGTACCATCAAAATTGCTTTAATATGGTTCATTGTGAGCTTATATGGGAAAGAAGTATCATTCATGAGGCGGAGCAAAACATCAACCATATCATCTTTCGTAGATTCGAGCTTGTTTTTGTGAAGATGTTCGTTAATGATTTTTTCAAGAAGTGCATTTAAGTCTTTAAAGGTTTTCTCAAGCTTAGAGGATTTTCCTGTTATCATATCAAGAAAACCCCCAAAAGGAACATAATCAGTATAAAAGAATCCTGTGAACATTGCTTCAGCTTCATGTAGAAGGCTGTAATATCTTCTTCCTAACACACTGTCGTCGTCGTATCTGCGCAAAATCCAAACAACATTAAACTTATAAACGTAGTGTATCTTTTAGGTTAGGAACCAAGTAAAGAGTAAATGGTATGTAATTTAACAAAGTCTAACAGAAATTATCGGTTTATTTCCTTGATTTTGATCTCATATAATTTATTGCAACAACTTGACGTTTATGGTTTTCAAGTCAAAAAACTACTAATAATCAATGTAACAAGATCACACACATACATATTGTTAACTTGTACGTATTAGTAACCATGAATATTGATTATACATATCATTATGTTTACGTTTGATACCACGTATGAAAATAGTATCCAAGATCATATCTATTCTATTAATTATTACTAAAATAGAAGATGTTGACGTCATCATTGTCTACGTGTAGTTCTCTTAATAAAAAAGTTTCCGCCTAAATGCAATAATGATGTCATTTTTTTTGTAGAGGTATTATATTTAACATTTTTGAAATTTAAATATTACTCCTCCTACTTTACAACTAAAACCTATCAATTTATCGTAGAAAATTGAAATAATTTTAAATAGTACACTAATAAATGATCTTTTACATTGAACTAAGAATTAAACGATGTTGAACAGATACTATATTGTAATTTTGATGAAAATAAATATTTTAAATTACAAAATGTCGTAATTCTTATTTATATTCATGTATAAAAGCGATTTATTTTTGAAATATACAGATTAAAAATAGGTTTTATATAAATCGTGCATCGCATGGGTTCTAACCTAGTATATAATATGTATGCAAATATGCATAGTTTAATACATACGTACCTCTTGCCAAAAGCGATCCTCCCGGAAGTTGAGCTTGCAAAACTAAGAACCAATTGACTCAAATTGACAATTTTGGAAGCAGAAGATAAAGAAGAAACCTCTTGAATCAACCTAGAGACTTCTTCCTGTCGAATTGGAGCAAACGACTCGACTTTCTTAGAGTTTAAGAGATGAACGATTAATATTTTTTTCATTTCTCTTATATAATCACTATATGGACTAAAAGCTACGTCTAACCCATTATAACTCAATTTCTTTGTTCCGGCCAACATTGGTCTATTACAAAAATTCTTATCATGTGTTTGGAAGATTTCTTGGGCCAATTTCGCCGATTGAATAACAACCATAGGTTTACTCATCAACCGGAGCGCGAAAATTGGACCGTAGGTTTTGCCTAATTTGGAATAATAGACGTGAGTATTTGAGGGTTCAAATTGATGGAGGTTTCCAATTAAGGGAAGCCCTTTTGGACCAGGAGGAGGGCAAAATGGTTGGTTTTTACCATTTTTGGAAACTTTTGCAAGAAAAATAACAGAAAGGGCTGCCATTAGAATGAAGAGGAGTAACATTTTGTTTTGAAGAATAATAATTGTAGTAATTTTAATTTTATTTTTATTGCTAATTGTTTTGTGTCTTTACCATGTAACTAAGCATGAGTATTTATAGTAAAATGTAACCGGTTTTTAAAATCTAGTTTATATACCACTTGCCATTTTATTATTTTTTTGGATAAGAACATCATGTTTGCCTTAGATTCTGTAATGTAGGTTTTAATTGGCTAAATGAGGTAATTGATTTTAAAAAATGAATTCAAACTTGTCGGGTTATAATGATTCAAATTCTTTTTTTAAAGTTTAATTTGGCCCTATGAATCTATGATGATTAAAGCACTTGATTATATAATGAAAGTCCTCTAGACTATAATATATATATTAAGGTTTCAGCTGGATCTATCATAATTGAGTGAAAGTTGATCTCGCAACAAATGCAATTACAGTTTAATTTTAATCATCCGCAACGTTGAAATTTTGACAATTGTTCACACATTCCTTTAATATAATCATCAGTTACCATTTATAGGAAATAAATAATCATATGTGATCGTTAAGGGTGCTAATTGAGTTGAGCAGCTCGCTAGCAACTCGTACTCGACTTGGTTAACACTTGGTCAAAACTCGACTAGGATTGACTCGACTCGATAGCTCATGAGCAACTTGATAATATAATATTAATACAAAATTTGAAAACAAAGTTACTATATTTAAACAAATTTGACACTTATTAAGTCTTAATTTATATCATAAAAAAAAGAAAGAGTAAATATTTAAATATATATATATATATATAATAAGGAAAATAATATAAATTGAACAAAAAATATATAAAGGCATATAATAATATAAGGACCAAAATTTTAACAAGCAGATCGTGAGCTACTCGAGTCGACTCGAAACATTAACGAGCACGAGTCGAGTAGGTTTTATTTTCTCGAAACTTTAGCAAACACAAGTTGAGCACATGTAAAAAGTTTTCGAATTGAGTTGAGCACTCCTCAGTTCATGATCGACTCGCTCGATAAACACCCCTAGTGATGGTTATATATATTTTTTGATATACTTATATTTTTACAATATTACTCGATTAATTTTTATATTTATTACTAAAATATAATTACAAAAAATAAAAAGTAAAAAAAAATAACACAGGAAGTAACATACTCTCGTCGTTTTTTGTTTTTTATTTTTCTACAACATTCCTTTTAGTTATGTTCTTTTATCTTCTAACATTTTATAATAAAGAAAATGAAAACTTGAAATTAATAATCCCACCTTTGAATAATCTAGAAATAATCCCACCTTTTACCCCAAATAATTCAAAAGTAATCTACAAATGATCCCACCTTTTATTATCTTTACCATAAATTATTTTTAGATTAATCCTACCTTTTATTTAATACCACAAATAACTAGTATAGCACCTGTGTGATGCACGGTTTACTAATAATCTTCATTTTTATTTCACATAAAATCTTAAATTAATTAAACATAAGAATAACAATTAATTTCAGTAAATTAGTACATTAATCATAATTCGTTTTCAATGTTATTCATAAAAAATTCAAAATACAAACCTCTCAAAAGAGTAAAATTAAATGATATGTATGGCCAAATGAAGCACTTATTAAAAAATAATTTACTCTTACTTTTAAAGGATCCAAATTAAATACAACAACTTAAACTTAACATCTTTATTTTACATCCCGTCAAAAAAAATAAAATCTTTATTTTATACTATGATGGTTATTTGCCATTTTTTTTTTCAAATAGAGTGAATAAGTCATCAAACCCATTCATTCAGTGTCATTATTTTATAAACATATATGTGGTGCATAATTTTTCGTATTTGTACATCACTTATAAAGAATACAAGATCTAAATCTACGCCTCACCATTTTCTTTAATTGAAAATAGTACAGTGCATTCGGGTGCACTTAGAAAGAACATTAGGTATATTTTAAAGAAGATGGACGAAAAAAAGAAAATATTAATATTTGAAAAAAAAATTTTGACAAAAGAACATATTTGTGTTTAACAAAGAACATGATATTATAGAGAAAATAAAATCTATATAAAAAGAGCATGACATTAGATGCTCCATGACCCATCGTACCTTATAATTATCTATCCGATAACTTAACCTACGTTCCTACATGGCTACATCCCTAAATATATAATTACAGATTATTTTTATTTTTCAAATTATTAGAAACTTTAAATGTAGCTTTATTTGGAAGAATTATTAGACTCATATCTAACATAATCGTTCGCATGATATCAATTTCTATAAGCATTTTATATTTTATTACACATATTAGAAGAATAATTAATTTATAATAAATAGAAATTAAAAGTACAAATAATATATTAATATCATTCTATTTCCCATACAGCTAGGCGAATACAATTCAAAATCCATTACAAATAATCTGTCCTCATTCACCAAGGTATCCACACCCCGTTAATACTAGATCACCCACCCCGTCACCTATTACACCTATACAATCCTTGCCCATTCACTTTATTTTCAAGGTATTTACATCCACTTATAATACATGCTTCATCACCTCCTTATTTGATCAAACACGCATCTTAATCATAACTTTAAAACTGAACTTAATATATATTTAAAAGCCTTTCAATTTTTTTATTTTTGATTTATTTATTTTTTTGAGTCAAAAAGCATTTCAATTTTTTATACAAAAAATAAATAAATAAACACAAAATAATAGTTATTAGCACCCATTAAAAAATCTAGGACATTAAAAAAAATCAATATTTTGTCGACTTCTTAACGGAAGAAAAATGTTTACCATTATTTCGTTATGAAGTACGAAGTATAATCTAAGGAGTTACTAACTACTTCAGTGTCTAGACTTTGAAGTCTTTTTTTACTCCATACTAAACCCAAATCATTGGATTAGCTGATCTACGTTAATAAATTAAGTTAATTAATACAATGACACAGCTTAAATTAGACTTGATGCGATATCGAATACTGAAATACGCGTTATTCATGCATTAAACGACGCAAGCTAATAATATACTTCGGTTTCTCTCTTTTGTTACATGTTTATTTTCTAACTATCAAATGAATTTTTATAGTCTCACATAAAACACCCTTTTGTCACAAATAAAAAGAAAGAAAGGTTGCATATACGAATAATTGAAAGGATCAAAATAAAAATAGATAAGTGGAATATTTATTAAAATTAACACAAATATTACTATAGTGATCATGTAAAACTTTAACGATCACAAGTCGAACAAGCACGTTGCTACCAGTTCACTATCATATGATATAATAACAGTTCAATTTAAGTTTTTGATTGGATTACTGTGGATAGTGTATGCTACCAGTTGCATTTTTTTTTTTTAAAAAAAGGTTGCAATTAGAATTTTTTTGCTACTAGGCAAAGTTGTTTTTCCTTATGTGTAACGATGCCAGGGAGAACATTATTGTTGTCAATGTCTTCCTTGCTTAAACCATCAGGAAATTACCAATCAAATGAGTATAACAAATTGGCAACCACAAGTTCAAGGCTTATATTAGACTAAAATTGTAGCCAGGGCATATTCTTCTTCCACCCCCGGAAACGAACCAATGGCACCACGTCACATGCTTTTAAATCTACCGAGCTTCCCATGAACCTCTAGCGCTAGTATAAATACTTTTGTGTCTTTCCAATATTCTGGATCTCGTCCAATCGTCCAATAGTTCATTATATAATTACGCTCTAATAAAAAAATTTGAAATACAACATTTTGAATATACTAAATATCGAAAACTAAACAACTAAAATAATTAAATATATTAATTAAATGCATTATTGATAAAAACATGGCCTAAGTTAGTATATGAATAGTATCAAACATCAATATGATGCATCTATTGAGAAAGGGAGGTGAAATTCGTCAAAAAAATGAAACAAAAGAAGTAATAATAAAAAAAAAACATACTCATGTGAGTGTAAATACAAATTTTAAATCCGGAAAATATAGATTCAAAACAAATGCAACAAAGAATTAATTTTATTAATTTGATAATTTTGGGGTACAATCTCTAATTTGTCCTCTGATTCGATCTCCACATTGACTTTGACGTAATTCACAAATTGACTTGATTCTTGAACGAGGGCCGTCGAGGCTTGATCTCGATCAAAGATTTGATGCAGAACTTTGACTTATGTTGATGTAGACCTTTGACTTGTATTCTTGATTGAGGGTCGACGAGGCTTGATCTCAATATATGAATTTTTGACGTAGAGGCTGAACCGGTGATGTTCTTGATGAATTGAGGTTCTTCTTTCCTTCGTGTTGAGGGCCATTGAGGCTTGATCTCTTCCACGGGTAATCTTCTAGAATAGAACGGCACGTCGAATGCTTGTTGTTTTTCTTCTAGGCTTTTAGATGTTTTCTTAAAATGGTTTAGAGAGATTTAGAGTATTTGATGACAGATTTTCTTTAGAGAGGTTTAGAGTATTTGAGAGGCTTTTTTTTTGTATTTGATTCTCCTTGTTTTCTCTAGGTTTCTCTCTAAGTTTTCTCTCTAGGTTTTTCTTTCTGTTTCCGTTTTCCTCCAAAATGAAATAGAGATAGCTCTATTTATAGAGTGAGTGACTCTTAGGGTTAGGGTTTGATGTGCATGGAGGTGGGCCTGCTTGATTATCATAACCCATTTTTAGTGGGTTTTAACTATTATATAAACAATTTAATTAAAATAACTAAAATGGGTCAATTAAATTTATTCACCCAATTTAATTAATTTTAATTAATAGTCAAATTAGCATCAAGTCAATAAATTGACTTTTGACCCATATATTATCCAATGTGGCACTTATATAAATTTTTTGTGCCTACAAATTGCCCCCTTCGAGATTGGTCACGGACACGACTTTGGAGGTGTTTGATCGTGATCGGGCTCGAAATCCTCTTTTTTTATTTTTTTTTCCTTTTTCAAATCGGCTAATTTTAATTAGCCAAATTTGCCATACAAAGTATAAACATGTACTGGTTTTAATTGTTTAATCTATGATAGTAATGAACATATCATGATTAAGCAACTAAATAACATTTCACGTACTGCATGAATTGGAACTTCAATTCATTCTTTTTTTTTTTTTTATTATTATTCTTTTTATTTGTGA